CAAACACAGATAGGCTTTGGTGGAGGTTGAAACAACATCTGAGAAGTCGATGTCGACAGACAGGCCGTACGAATACAAGTCCCTGATGTTGACCGTGGCCATATAGATGCCTGAAATGTGTTGGTGGTTGTTGTTGGAATAGAAGACTTCAACTTTTATAAATTAGCAAACAAAAATGGTACCCTCAAGCAGCTGTATACCTGTAATCAGTTCGTAATTTATAAAGAAAAGTTACTTTCCATAGATGAGATTTCTTCTCAATAAATATTGCTGAGAGAAGCAGCTGCAGCTAATTCGAAAAGTGGAGGGCAAGGCTATACACGCAGTCATTGCAAAAAGAAGTGTTTTACGAATAAATGCAGTTGTAAAAGCAAGAGACTCTTGTGCAATTCAAAGTGCCATAACAGTTTAAATTGTTGCAATAAATAAGATTGTATAACATTAATCACGTAATTTATGTGTAAGTTTACTATTGTGTATTATTTTTCTTTAATGATTTAGAATGTACAGTTCATTTTTAGATTCAACAGTTTATTTACATGTGCTGTTACTTAAGCTTTCTCCTATTTTGACACATTAAAAAGTTGCATTTTTGTCTTAACATAATAAAAATATTTTTATTCAACATTCACCATCAGTGCATGCTGAATGTCGACATTTGCCAGTGTAAGTAAGAAATAATGATATTTAGCAAATATTTCATACATACATGAAACAACTGTGTGAATGCTGACATTTGCCAGATATTGGTCATTCACAGTAACATATATATATATATGTGTGTGTTACTGTGTGGCAGAAAAGTAATGAGATTGATATCACTGAGAGCAATCTGGAAATACTGGGTTTCTCTTTTGTGTAGCTTGTATGTCAGTCCCTCCTAGATGCTCAGTAACAGTTTCATCCTTGTGTGGTAACTATGCGATCCTATAGGACTTTGCCCACTTGTTCAAAATTTTATGACAGTTCATCAATCCCTGTGTCACTATTTCTATATTTTTTTCCTGACACAAAAATGTTTATGATGATTTTAAGCTAAGTATTTTATATATAAAGAATATGTTAGATGAAACTTTAAAGTTAATTTGTTATTTTTTCTTTAGCAAAATTTTCAACCTAAATTTGTTAATGTTAAAATTTAACTAATTCAGCATTTTGTGCTGAATTAATTAAATTGAATTTATCTTAAGTAAAATCATTGAACATAGAACTGATATTTAAGAATTAACAAATACAGATTTTATTCATTTTATCAGTTTTATTATTAGGTGAAACTAGAATATTTTGTTTAATAAGCAGCATTACTTGTTGAGTCATTTAATCAATAAAACAGTTGATCTGGTAAATATGAAAAATGTTTCATTTAAATGATAAATTAGTATTAATATATTTTTTCTGATGAAAAATTAATATTTTTTTTATTTTATAAATTAAATGAAATATATTTATTAACATAAAAAATTATTTCAAAAATTATCTAAAAAGAAATTTTCATTTTAAAATTTTGTACTATAAGTTTTGGTGCTTTTTGATCATAAATTAATCATATTGAAAATTTAAGCTTGTTGTCACAGTATCTATTACTATTCTATTGAGTAAATTGAATCTATCCAATTCTACAATTCTGTTAGGTAAATTACACTTTTATATATTGTAAAATGTCTAAAGAATATAAATTTGAGATGAATTTACAATATTTTGATGAATGTAGTAAGTGCAGTAAAACATTTTTATTATAGAAGAAACTAATCAAATATCTTTTTCATAAAGGAATAATAATTTTGATTATGAAGTAATTTATCACAAGGCATATCTAAACAAGTGTATTTATTTCTTCATGCAGAATTAATTTAAAATGCAAATTAAAATGATTTTATTCCTTAAATAGACACATTTTATTCAAGTTAATTTCTGTTGACTTTAAAATGTTTTCCGAGCAGACTCTGTTTTATCTTCAGTGATAATGTTATACTAAAACGGTTTCAAATATTCCATAATAGAAAATGTAACAAACTGTTCAAATTTTATGAAAAGTAATTTTCTTAATTGAAAAAATTTTTGAGAGTACTTTGTTTCCTTATTAGAAAATGATTCTCACAAAGTTTCAGTAGTTTGTTGCATTTCTATTACAGTAATGTTTGATGAAACTTTTCTGATGTAATTTTATTATTGAAGATAGTGCTGAAGCTGCATCAATAATGTTTCAGTTTAAAAATTTTCTTTTTGTGTGTGTATTATAAAACAGGGTTGAACTTTTCAACAGTAGAGAGTTTTGGAGATCACATAAAAAAGAAAAAGCTGATAATGTTAGCAATTGTGAACCTTTTATATTTGTGTTGTAGAATTTCTCAGAATTTGATGATATGCTATTAAAATTTAAAACTTCCAAAACAACAGAAGATTTTTTAAAATAAAACTTTTTGCATTGAAAGAGTTTACAAAGATCTGCCTTATAAGTGTTTAAAAAAATGATAAAACTTTAAGATATTTTGAAAGTTTTAAAATAATTTTGTTTTAGTTAATTTTTTCCACATATAAGAAACTGAATATTTTTTGTGTGAGACATTGGAAAAATTATTTTAAATAGAGATAACACTTTTAAAAGTACATTTTTACACTGATATGATTTAGTAAATGATTTTTAATTAAATAGTTCAGTATTAGCATTGATGTTTTTTTTGTTTCTTAGTCAAATTTGCCTATCAAAAAAGTTTAGTTATATCCCTACATTAAAACATACTTTGATTTAAAGTATAATCTGTAAAAAAATATGGAATTGCATGGAATAAGTATGAAATCTCTATATTTTTTTATTTCAAATTAAAAATATTTCTGAATTAAACTTAAGAATATGAAGATATTAAATACTTGAAAATAAATTAATTAAATACAAAGAAAGAGTCTTAGTTTAAAAAAATTTTTCAGAATGTTAATTATATTATCATCCTTCCTTATTTTAGAGAATAAATACTTTTTACTTTTCTATCATTTCTATTACTTATTGATATAATTTCATTCTTACTTCATTACATTAAATACTTATTGTATAAAATCAATATTCCTCACTTAATAAGAAATATAAAATATATTGAAATAGAATATTTAAAGATATTTATATTTAAAGATATAAAGAATATTTATATAGAATATTTAAAGTGAATAAAACTAAAACTTGTGTGTTTTATTAATTATTTTTGATTTTAAAAATAAAATTGTTTTTTCTGTGAATTTTAGAGAGTAAAATATTTGTTTCATTTGTGATTAAAAATTTTATAATTTATATATTTAAAGTTTTATTTAAAATAATACTTTAGGATTTGGATTTGCATAACATTGTAATTTTTATAGACTTTATTTATCATATAACTAGAGAATATTTTAACAATTGTGTAATGTAGTTAACAATTACTGAAATTTAACATTTTATATAGATACTTTTTTTAAATATTTGATTTCAAATTTCACATTTTTCCATATTTTACTATAATAATTTTAATAATATTAATTCTTTCTAAATTATATTGACAAATATGTGAGTAGTAACAATTATAATTGTTCATATAGTTAGTAAATGTTTTCATATTTTTGGTTTTTGTATTCTTGTGTGAAAATTTTTATTTGTTGTTTTTTTAATTGAATTTATTTATAAAATCTGAAATGTAAATGTAGTACTAAAAAATTAATGATTAATTATAATTTATATCATTGTTTAAAATAGTATGTTTTATATGATGATATCCTAACAAATTTTTACCATTGTCTTTTGGTATTACTTGATCCATACAAATTGAACCAAAGATAATTATTTAATATAATTTTTTTTTTACATAATTTTATAATTTCAAAAGACAAACATTTAAATTATTTCTTATTATATCAAATTATATCTTTTTAAATCAAAATTATATTTATGTGATATAAGAAAAAAATAAATATTTAATATTTTGCATAGAAAAGATAATAAAAATCAATGTTTTAGCAGCTTTGTATTAATTCAGTTCAATTAAAGCAGTGCAATTTCTCTTGTGGAATGTACTTTAATATAATGAAAGTCATTGGGATGGTAACTAGTTCCTGACATATCATAAATGAATGCTTTCAACTGAAATTCTCATCTCTCATCAGTCACGTAACGTTTCTGACCACGCCTCAGCTGCAGTACACCACCATCTAAAAATATACGAAACCATAGGTAATAAAACAAATTGTTTACTAGAAATTATGGTAGGGCGAGTTATGTTCAAAATAATAATCCAGTTGGTCTTGTAAACAAAAGAAGAAGTAGATCGGCGGTTTTCCAAAAAAAAAAAAAAAAAATTAAAGGTTAGACATGTTTCAGACGTTTCGTCCATGAAAAACTGTTACAAGAGAAGGGGAAAATTGTCTCATAATTATTCGGAATGAAATTGAGTTAAATTACCGTCTAAAACTGTCATTTTACATTCGATCATACTTTTTTAAAACGCTTTTGATGGATGAGTTCATTTTTATCGTTTGCGATTAGATCTAATCTGATGATTCTGTTAAAAGTAATTACTTTCTACTGTAGCTATATTCTTCGGGTTTAAATACAATCGATTTAAATATATTTATTTATGTATACGATATCTTAAAGAATTATCATGGTTGAGAGACATGCAGATCATTTTGTTTTGCTTGTATCTTTCTTTGTTGTGGAAACTGTTGTCAAGGCATCCAGTGTTTTGATTAATCGAATTTTTTTCCCTTTAATCAACGAAAAATAACACGATTTTGTATAAACACACATTACATACTACCGAAAGTATAACTTGGATATCGATCGCAATATCTGTTTTCGTGGTCTTTTCTGATTGTAAATATGACAAATAACCCAGTATTATGTGCGATACTATATTTATGTATACTATCCATATAATTTTATAAATATACTGATTGCTATACGTTTTAACGATAAAACATTAAATATTAATTATTAAACGGAATAATTTATTAATATTTCGCTTATTTATTATTTATAGATTTTCAAAAGTTGGAGAGAGAAGCAAGGATTTGTCGTAAACTGAATCATACGAATATAGGTGAGTTTAAAATCCATCGGCGAATTAAAAAAAATAAATAATAATAATAATAATAAATCGGTAAAAATTTATTTGATTTTTTCCCCACATATAAATTTAATCATTTGCTTTAAAATATTTATTATAAAGCGTTGCGATCAATAGATCGAGCCTGTTCAAATAACGTTGGCTATGATTTTATAATCTGCTTGCTTCTTTACCGCCTTCATCGATCGTTGACGATTATTATTATTCTCTTATTTTAGTCTGACTCGATCTAAATCGAGTGTAATGATTAATAATTCCGTTACGATCGAGTCTGTATTTAGAATGTTCTTTTTTTATTCTGGTTGCCAAATGTCCGTTTGAAATATTGATCTCTGCATTACGGCTTTTTTTTCCCCTTCAAGCTTCAAATGGGTGATTCCGGGATTATAATGACATCTAAAAAGTTTTTTTTCCCTCCCCCCTGTTATCCGCGTATCTATTAAAAGTAAAAGTAAAAGGTGACCCAGTTCCTTTAATCTTAATGATGTTATCCTACCAAACAAGAAGCTAAATGTGACATTTTTCCGTTGCTGGTGTTATTGAAGTTGTCAGACCTATCTAATGCTCTTGCATACCTAATCGCGATAGATTTCATTCTACTGCATCTACGTTGACAGTCAAAACATGCCATATGTCACCTTGTCACTAGGGAAATATAACAATCCAGCGGTTTCCCGGCTACTATCTGTTAAGTTGATACGAACGATGGATGACGCTTTTTGCCTAATAAAAAAAAAAGTCTTGCTAAAAGTTTGCGGTACCTTTATTTCTTGTATTAATTTAAATTGCTTTGATTATTATGATTAAAAAACCGACTTTTCTGATGTAAAATATNTATATATATAAATGTTTAACGAATATTTTGTGATGTCAATGTTGCTAATAAGGTTTGTTTACATTGTAACATGTTTTAAAAAATTATATGTAATTTTTTTATTTTTTTAAATTTTGCACGAGTTGTCGCTAAATTTAATAAAGTCTTGAGATATTTAAATAACTTAGAGTTGTTTGATATCTAAATTCCATTCTAATAACAATCTTTATTCAATTATATTTTAAATTCTAATTATAGAGGAAATTTTTTCTTTCCAAGGTTAGCTAATAGTTGTAAAACGGAAACTGTTCGTGCTTTTGAAAGAATGCAAACTCGAATAATATATTTGCATTCTCGACTAGCCGAACATTTATGACAAATGAAAAACGATTATTTCCGTTTGTAGACTATAAAATATGCAGTAAAAAGTGCCCAAACAGTTTTATTTATTTTTTCTTCTTTTTCATTGAATTGATGTATTCCTAGTGATTTCTAACCAAATTAAATTTTGATTTTTACATATATATATATATATATATCTTTATCCTTTCAAAAAACACATTTATATTAAATTTAACACTTGTGTGCAAATTTGAGTTTTTGTTTGTTTATTGATAATTAAGTTTTCTTATTTTTTTTTCTTGCAATTTTTGTCATAAATTTCAAAATCTAAACTTTCATAATTTTGTATTTATTCACCAGATATTGGAAAAAAAATGTATCGGTTATAAGCTATTTATTTGCTTAGATGTATTATATTTTTATTTCATGCTTTATGTAACCATTGATTTTCAGGATTGATTTAGATAGGCAGGAATTGAACGTTTATATAACTAAGCGGATTCTCATCTAATGTAACGAGATTACAACATGCAATATCAGAAGCGCAGTGACTAAGATGAATAATTATATATGAAATTCTTATTAATTATAAACGATAACAATATATAACAATATTATTAAGATTATAATTCTACACTCTGAATAGATTGTTACTTTGTTTAACTAATTTTACGTGACAGTAGACATGCAATTATTTTTAAATAACTAGTTTATTGAAAGTCTTCGATCTAATTACGAATATTTTTTTCTAAATCCGATACTTGAATGTAAAAGCAGTTATAAATTTAATGACTTGTATATACACGTACATTCGAAATGGAAAAAATTTTCAATAAAGATAAAAATTACTTTCTTTTCAAATAGAATGAAAACTGTTTAGTTTAATTAGATGTTAGATCTACTAACGTTTCAGATTTATTAAAAAGGAAATTTCTGTATTAATCAGTTTTAAAAAATTCGTTTTCCGATAAAATCTACTAAGATTGTTATCTCTTTTCATCTCTCTCTCTCTCCCTCTTTTCTAGTTTCGAGATAAAAATCGGTGTGATTCGATTAGTAAGATTCATCGATAATGTGTTTTTATGATCGATAATTCACGATAAACGCCTGACGCTTATTCAAACGAATATTTTTCTTTTTTATTCCCATTTCCGGAAATCTTTTTCGACGCTGAATAGTTTATATCCACTTAAAATTTGTCATTATTTCTGATAAAAACGTTCATCATTTAAGCTTAATAACAATTTGTTTCTTGTCGTTATTTTTCTTACTTATTTGATTTTCTCAAGAAGGAAATAGAATATAATTCATCATTTATAAGTTTATTTATGTCTATTTAAATAAATACAAATGGTGTATATATATTCGTCATTAAATTTTGACTTAAAAGAATCTGAAAATTAAAAACTTAAAATGTAAGTTTTATATAATTCACTGAATTCAAATTTACTTTTGAACAACATATTCCTTTCGTTTCTTAAATTTAAAATGATGGATTTGATGTACAATATCTGATATATATCTAATCTAGTTTTAATAAAATTTTAGACTGAAATATGTATGTCATTTAATAATAAACAGGACTTTATGATGATATTAAAATGCACAATCTATTGCATTGGTATCTATCAATCTTATAAATATCAAATTGTATAGCTTTCAATCTCTTTTGTCAGTTTAATCTAAAAATAATATAAAATCAATTCATGCTATATATTTAAATGTGCAGTATCTACTAGGAATTATTAATTTTATTCATCTAGAACAGTAGTTTTTAACCTGGAGTCTATAGGTTTGGAAGGGTAAAAGTCAACTTATCTTAATTTTGTGTTATTGTGTGAAATTGTTAATTATTGTGTTAAGAAAGTAGCACATACATTACTATACTATGCTTTTTTTTCTGTTATTTTAATAAATGTATTTCTATATAACTTGTTTCTTTTATAATTTTTTAATGCATTTAAAAACATTATTCCGACAACAGTTCGTGGTATTCACCTGATTGGAAAAGGGGTCCTAGGAACAAAAAAGGTTAAGAACCTCTGATCTAGAAGTTGATTTACCACTAGAATTTTTTGCGATTGAATTGTTTGTATCCTATCCTTGTAATTTTACTATATTGGCGAAACAGCAAGCTACATCATTTGAAACATACTCAAGAGATTAATTTAATTTTCTCTCAGAACCTAACTTTCATATTTTTTATATACATAATATTTTTGGATGAATAATCATTTTGAGGTTGTACAGTACATTAATTACGTGTATACTTCTGAGAGAGGGGTCATGAAAAATACACATTGTATAAGATTGGGTAAAGGAATTGTCTATATGGGCTTTTTAGAGTGATATTGGTGGCATACGAATTTGTTCTTATAAGCCTTATAATAGTCATGTAAATATTATCAACTAGAAAATATTTGCAGAGCATTTTGTCATTTCTTTAATATCAGGACGAGATCCATGAATTATTAGCCTATATGTGTAATTAAAGGGGAGGAGATCAAAAACTGCACATAATTAACGGATGGGTCCTTTACTTCAACATATGTATATATATATATATATATATATATTTATTGAATATTATTTGTTTATTGAGTTGTTATTAGTATGAAAGTCTTGATCAGATTTGTTGTACCATACTTCACATATCCGGAATGTGATCTGTATTACAGTAGTTGTCTTTTAAATTTTCATTTTACTTGTCGTATAGGAATCGTTCATACAATTGTTAGTATGAAATGCGGCCTTTCAAACATTATTTAGCAAAATTTTTGAATTTTATTTATTCATTCACAAAATTTGATTAATAACACAGTACTTCATTTGACTATTGGTAATAATTATATCTATATGTTTGCGTCTTTGTCACTGATAATTTATAATTCGAGAAGCTGTTTACTTAGAAAAGTTATTTCAATAAGGAAAACGAAACAATTTAATGAGATTAGTTGGCTTACATTTTATTATAACGTTTTTTAGTTTATTATTAAAATAATGAATTAATCTTTTTACTCAAATATTTAATTGTTAAATAATAATCGATTTTTAAAAAATATTTGTTGATTATTCTATCTTCCATATTTTTCCATTTCTCTGTTTTCCATGCGAAGTCTTTTTTTTCCAAGAAAATCAGTTAAATTGTTCCTGTAATAGATATTTCCGAATACAGTAGAATTTCCGTCACTCGCCAGTCTGACAGTTCAGTAATCCGACACTCTACAGGGTGGCTCATATGAAATTTCGTGTACTGTACAGTACAATCGTGATTAATACGACAAACTAACCTGTGAACCAAATGCGTTTTCTTTCCTGTACGTACCGATATATACAAAATACAGTAAGCCAATCCCCACCGGTTCGATCTAAGTCAGATTACAGAGATTCTACTGTATTTAAAATTTTATTTGAAATTTAGGTAGCTGTAATCGGAAATAGTGATATATGGTAGACTTCTGATTAACTATTGTTTTCGAACTTATTCTCTTGTATTAAGCAAGTATTAAAGTATAGATGAAACAGTAAACAAATTAGGTTCTGAAAATTTCAATGAAAATAAATAGTAAATCAACAGATCAAATTTCGGTGGCAGACTGTCAGAACAAAATGTTACACTATTTTAAGAGAAGTCTTGTAATCTTAATGAAAATATTATTTAAAAAATGGCAATCGAATTAAACGAAACTTTGAATGAACAAAATCTTATACAATAGAATTCACTCTTTTACTTTAGGACTCGCCTACACTGATAATAATTGATTGTAACATTAAGCAGGATTAATAAATAAGAATACAGATAGTGGAAAATATGGTT